GACATCTTGGCTGGCCTTTAAATCCATTATCTGACCCTAATCAAAGTGATCTGTTTCACTGTCGCAGAAGACAATCTTGTTAGTGGAAGTGATGAGCAGAAGTGGCCCTTCAGAAACCGCTCAGGAGTGGCTGGGCGTGCATCAATTTTTGTCACTCCCAATTAGATGTATTTGAGATTAACCTTTCAGTGTTATGCAGGGCAACCAAGCTTTGGTGGACTGTAGGACAGCAAAGTGCACGTGCCAACACCCGGTCAGTGGGCAGTTGGCTCTCATTGGATCAAGTTCTTTTGGTGGCGTAACACATATGTGTCAGAGTTAGTTAGCATTCCTGCCTACTCACAGCTTGGAGCTTGGTATGTGTCAACACAGTGATCAACTACAGTTTGTAATCTCTCTGCCTTAGTATTAAGGGTCCATCTGAACAACTTTGATGGGAAAATAACAATGATAGCAGTGCTATAACCAACTCCAAAACTGAAAAACTGTGCCGTTTCTGATTATATAGAATCCAGATGATCTCTGTTTGGACTCAATATCTAATAAATATTTTGGGTGAAGAATCAGGATGAAATGCTGGGGAAAAATATTTTCTGAAGACAGAGCTGAGCAGTAATGTGTCCAGATAGCACCTTATGTACAGTATCAAGCCCAACTGTGCATTGTTTACTTTGAGTTTGCATATTTGAAGACATCAGCTCAGCTGCACACACAAAAACTATGAACATATTTTCCCCTTTTAAGAACGCTAGGAAGGCCACCACCCGGGTTTTCTGCTGTTCAAAAAGGTATCTCCATGGAAACAGCAAATAAATTCAGAAATAATATTATTATTTCTTACAGAAGAAAGCTTTCATTCCTCGCACAAAAGAGAAAAGCGAGAACCTTTAAACATGGAGCAGCTTCACACTCAGGGGAAGCCGATTTGCAGAGGAAGCAGTGACCCAGTTCAGACACAAAGGCTCCCAGACTGCCAATCTCCATAATTTCATTTGCTCCTCCCCACAAACTTGCATTTTCCTTCAACCCTCCCTTTTCTTGCTAGGAACAGCTTCCCATTTAAAGGGAAATGGGAATTGGAGGCAGCATATAGGTGAACAGTTTTCAAGATAAAGATTGAAACTGGTCTCTTGCTCAGGTTACAGCCTCTATCTTGAGAACTTACTAGGAAAGGAGGCTTACTAGCAAGAGAAGCTAACTAATAACATTAGCAAGGATGGGGACTGCAGTCTGACATCGAATAGGGCACAGGTTTAAGTACACAATGGAGAGATACACTAATGCACCTGACAACCATGAAGTATAAAGTTTAAACCACGACAATACTTTCAAACAACCAGAATTTGAAAGTTAATTGAGCTTCATCCTGTATTCCCAACCATTTTGATGACAGCTTTGTTATGGTTGTGTGTCTTTAAGTTGTTTCCGACCCATAGCAACTCTAAAATGAGCCTATCACAGAATTTTCTTCATTTGTTCAGAAGAGCTTTGCCACTGGCTTCCTCTGAGGCCGATAGGAATTACCCTCATACAAAACAGCCACTCCACTTAACCCAAAGGTTTGCATAATCTTAACTAAGAGAGGCCTTATTTTATCTGAAAACCACAGGAGTATTTAAAGTCAAAGGGTGGAAATGTTTACCTGCCCAAACGGAACATCCTTCAAGGATCTAGATTTCCCGCCATGTCATTTAATTTTTTCCATATTTTACTGAGCCATATGTTTTGAAGTTTCAATACAGAATTTAAGAGTCAAATCTGGATAGTAGTTATCAGACATATCTACTGTAATGTACAGTGGGTTTTTAGTATCTGTAGGGGTTTGGCATCTGTAGGGGCTGGTCCATGAGGTCACGAAGAACTGGAAGCGACTGAACGAATATACAACAAAGGGGTTTTAGTTCCAGATCCTAGCGGATATCAAAATCCATAGATATCCAAGTCCTATTATATATAAAGGTGCAGTAAAATTGTGTCCCCTAAATTAAATGGCACATCAAGGTTTACTTTTTGGAAATGTTTTAAAATATTTTCAAGCCATGTTATCATTAATCCATGGGTACTGAGAGCCAGTTGTACTCTGAAGAGGGTAGCCGTGATGTTTCACATTTGTATAACATTATATTTATATTATAGAAAACAAGGTACATCGTCATGTAGCATATGTATGTTAAGAGAAGGGGTCTCGTGGGATAGGGTAGGACTGTGGCATACGGAAAGTAACTGGTGATTCCCAGTTTAAACATGCTTTTAAAATTATGTTGGTCAGCATCAGAGTAGAGTTAGAGCTGGAATAGCAGTCAGAATAGGTTTAGTCTGAATTCAGTTCATAGATTTGGGCTATGAGTCTTTGAGGCCCCTTCCACCCATCTGTATAAAATCCACATTGAATTGCATTATATGGCAGTGTGGACTCAGATAACCCAGTTCAAAACAGATATTGTAGATTATCTGCCTTGCTATTCTGGGTGGGTCCTGAGAGGGAAGAGTCAGAGCAAGTATGTCTATTACAGTCTGTGGTTGGCTGTCTAAAAAGCATAATCTGTGTGGTGTATTTAAAGTTTAAACAGAGTAAAATATATAAAGATATATATGGAAGAAATAACACATGTAACAATTTTTTCTGTTCCTGATTCAAAAGCGTTATTTCCTGTTTAATAGTGTGGTACTTATTTGAAAGTAGTTATAGTCCAGAAACTTCATTTCTGCCACAAACTATGTTGAATTGGTTGAGACTCTGGGATATTCATTGAAAAACTATAGCAAAATGTGCTACAGGTTGTCCCGTAAAAACAAATGTAAGAAATCTTTTCCATGTTTTTATTATAGAACCAATTGGAAAAGGACATTTGTAACCAAGGAACAAAAAGCATATTGCATAGCGTAATCTAAAATACTGTATCATAGCCACCGGTATGTGAACAATACACGGTTGTGAATAGCTGCATTATCTTCATCTGCTAAATCATTTTGTGTACATACACATGCCTTTCAGGGTTGCTACACTGAGATTAGGTTATTGATAAGGTCAAAGTGGTGGCACCAGAAATGCCCTTGTTGTTGCCGTCTTTGGCTTTGGAATAGAATTTACACAACAAGCTATAAAGGTGATTGTTAAAAGATTTAACAGCAAAATATTTAAGTTTGAGTGTTTACAGGAGGTGACAGCAACTTGGGCAATCAGAAGAGAGCTATTATAAGTGGTTAACAATAGTGGTGTTGCACCTCATCCCTGAGGCACCTCTTCACCCAGCACCACACCAGAAACCAAAAGTTCAGAGTTTATTGAATGAAGAATAATAAAAGGGGGAAAGGGTTTATATTAAAAAGCAGCAGGCAGGATATAAACAGCGATATACAAAAGCAGTCAAGAATTCAATAAAACTCCTTAAGAAGTCCATGGGAACTTCACAAGAACTAGAAATCCAGGAATTTAGAAATAATCCAAGGTAAATTACAGGAACTTGAACACAGAAAACTTAATCCAGGCAAAACTCTTCAATGGTACATAGGCAAGGCATGAACATAAAACAAGAACCTTGACATTACAAGAATCATAGACTTGAAAACTTGGCAACATAAGCAGAAGCCTGTTTCTCTATGGCAAAGTTGTCCTCTCTGAATTGCTAAGAACCAAACACCCAATTTAAACCCACCAAGACATTCCTGACATCATCCTTGTCACATCACAACCCGAGATTCCTTTTTCTAATTCTCTGAGAATGTTTTAATTGCCTGAGTCCAAAGATCTAATCTTCTCTCTCAAAATATATGTCTCTTCCCAGGGCCTATTCTCCAAGGAAAATTCACTTTTGCTTTCCTAAGTATGCACAACATCTGCTGGCTCACGGTCAGGCCAACCTGCCTCAGACTGGTCTGTCTGCAAACCTCCATGAATGCTCTGACACTTCATTTTGAAAACCATCATCTTCATCAGAATCTCGCAGGCAACAAGTGGGATAAGAGGAGGTCTCCTTGGTAGCCTCTATGTGCTCATTTAATTATTATAGCAGAAATAAATTATGTAATTATTCATGACTTTTTAAAAAGAACATGTCATCTACTATTTGTAACATTTGTGGATTGTAGCTCCATAGCATAGTGTTGTGAAAGAAGAGTCCACTCTGATACATCAACTGCAAAAACCATGGTGAGTTGCCGACATTAATCCATAACCCAGTGCAGTTCCTCGCCACAGTTCTTCTGCAATGCTTATCTTCAAGCCACTTAGATGCCTGGATGGATCACAAACCGATTCACTTCCTGCTTGTTATTATGTTTGAATGCTGTGGTTATCTTTCATCAAGTCTGAGAATCATATCTCCATAATATTGAGACATGTGCCCATATCGATGTCATTTTCAATATAAACCAACAATTGCAACTATTTTCTATTTGTGCTTCTCCACTTCTATGAGTCATAGGACATTGAGAAGTGGGGGAAAACACAATGGTTACACTATGTCACAAAAACAATAGGAAAGTAAGGTTCTGAGTCTGCCAATAAATGAACAATGGAACCTCAGAAGCAGGTGGTTAATTTGGACTCAATTAACAAGAAAACACTCTACTTGAAATGCTGCTGCCAAATGTTAGAGGAAAGGGTTGGTTGCAACTGAGGAAAGCCAAGCAGGTAGCTGGAGAAAAAACAAAACTAGTCTAAAAGAGAAAAGGAAAAGACACAAGCAGCTGTTGGCTCAAGTGGTATTCTTCATGGACAAGATAGCTGAAACACAAAAAGACCTTGAAGAAAAGAGAAGCAAAAATGTATTTTCATGTATAGATGTAGGAAGAGATCTTGGGTGCATCTATACTGTGGAATTAAGGCAGTTTGACTCCACTTTAATTGCCATGGCTCAATGCTATGTCCTAAGGCTTGTAGTTTGAGGAGACACCAGCACTCTTTGGCAGAGAAAGCTAAAGAACTTTTAAAGCTATAATTTACATGATTCCATAATATTGAACCATGGCAATGGAGAAAATAAAAACACAAACTAACATTTCAAAGAAATTAAAAATATTTATTGGCAAAAATCATCTTTAAAAGGAAGAATTTCTTTACATAGAAAACTAGTAGTCCATTTGATAATTCTTTAAATTAAGATGATAATTTCTCCAGCAACGCCTTTATTGCTGTTGACTGATCTTTAGTCTTTTTAAGTTTTGGAATAAGACTTTTCAGTTGTTCTTTGACTTGAGTCACCACTTCTGATTCAGAGCTCTGAAGAAGACTGTAAAAGAAGACCAAGGAAATATCAATAATAAAATCAAACCAAAAGGTTACAAGAAAAGGTAAACAATTGAGAACAGATCTACTTTGTCAAAATTCAAATTGGGATTATCACTTTTTAAAAGTAAGGAACTATACAGTGAACAATTGTGCATGACAGTTCAGCATAAATGATGACTGAATGCTCTGACTTTTTCTATGACACTTCCTTCTAAATGCTTCCTTTCTTTTGAATATATTTTAAACTAAATAAAACATCTGCATCAATATTACATTTCTTTTTTATTCTGCGAAGACTGAAAAAGTGATAAGGCAAAGTTCCAGAACACACCTACACACCAATAGTTCACCAGACTGATAATTATTTCTTTTTAAAATGAGACTAGGTATGATAAGTATTGCTTATTTATTTATTTATATCCTGCTTTTCTTCCAAATTGGGACTCAAAATGGCAAACAACATGTAAACAAAACATAAAGATAAAGCTTTCCCTTGATATTAAGTCTAGTTGTGGCTGACTCTAGGATAGTGCTCATCTCCATTTCTAAGTCAAAGAGCTGGCATTGTCCATAGATGCCTCCAAGATCATGTGGCTGGCATGACTGCATTAATGGCTGTGCCAAGACATGGAAAAATCTTGAGGTTTTTCAGTATTTCAATGTCTACTATAAAGTTATATAAATCATCTATGGTCATTTTTATTTGATTTTTTAAATTTTCAGCTGTAAATCTGCCTTTACACCTTCTTCAATAAACATTATAAATTGTTGCTATTTTCTGGTGGTCAAGAACAATTACAGTGTGATTGCCCCACTGCCTAAAGAACTATTCCAAAGCACTTTCCTCATAGAAGTGAGATGCAGTATTATGGGCTATCGCTGGAGTTGGGATTCCTTGCTCTTGCTATGCATTAAGTGTCCCGATCCATTTCATTCCATCTTATGACTCCCTGTCAAGAGTGCTTTCTTGACAACATTTATATGAAAAAGGTTTGCTGCTGTTTTCTCTAAGACTGGGAGGGTGGGTGTTTTGATAACTGACCCTGGTTCCTTGGGAGTCCCAGTACAAATTAGTAATGGGCCCTGGGAACCATTTCAGCCATTGAATTCATGTTTTCATACCATTTCTTTAATTCAGATGGCATGAAACCATACACCTCCCTCCGGTACCGAAATATCAGTGAAACGAAAGTGGGAACGGTAACCTTTTGGTCACCTGATTTTCGCCGCTCGGCTGCAGGTCCTGGCAGGCGCTTTGGGCCTGCATGCCACACACACACACTTTCCAAGGAGAGTGCGTGTCTGGCTCGCAGGCCCAAAGCGCTTACACCTGCTGAGTAAGAGGCCCTCCGTGCTTGGCTGCAGGCCCTGGCAGGTGAAGCGGCTGGCTCGAGGTCCAAATCCACATCCTGGATGAGAACAACTACACCCCCACTTTCTGCTAAAGTGAATAAAGAGTCCAGATGAGAGAAGACGCAGCTGTAGGCAGCTCCTTGTACCAACTTTTCGCCACAGACCCTGATTTGGGCACCAACGGCAAGGTGCATTACAGCCTCAGCCACCTTGAAAAGAGTGCAAGTGTGGCTTGCAAGTCACCAATGGACCTGGGATGAAAAAGCTCATTCGAAAAGGGGGCAGTTTTTGGGAGAGGCGCTTGAAAATGAAAACGGGGCCTTACAAATGAAACAAACAGAAACAGATAGTGATTCTATACGAATGCACAAACCATTGCTCTGTACCCGCTTCTAGTGCCTCCTATACATAAAATCATGGAGTTGGAAGAGACTAGAAGGGCCATCCAGTCCAACCCCCTGCCCTGCAGGAACACTCAATCAAAGCATGAATATCTTAGGCACAAAAGCCCCTATAAGGTTAATAAAGATGCACTCTCGCAAACCATATTAAGAAGCTCATTTGTACTGACATCCTCTTGTTACATTCTCATATACTTGGCAGGGAAAGCAACCATTCTTTTTCCCAGCTGAAAGAACAGGAGGCTGGGAAAGAGATCCTTAAAATTAAGCAGTGGGGGAGGAGGGGTGAGAGATGGTGGATTTTGCATTTTTAAGAGTCAGGGAAACTTAGTCTTCAGAGGGAAGAACAGTTGCACTGGTAGCAGGATTAATAGGATTGAAAACTGGAGATGAAGCTATATTCCAGGCAGTGTTCCAGGGAAACCACGCAGACCAGCTTTTAGAACTTCCCCATATTAAAGTGTTTGGCGGGCAGCAGCACCATGCTCCATAGAGAACCACTGTGCCCTGAGAAGGCACCAGGCTGACAGATTCATTTGCAGCTCCTAACTGCAGTGCTATTTTTGTCATAACCTTCTGATTAAACAGCCACGTCCCCCGCCTTGCTTTTTTTTAGATACATAATAAGGATTATGTTGCCAAACCAAACAGAATGAGAGAAGAATTAACGTGGCTTGTTGAGTGATTAAAATCTGTTTTCTCAATGTGACCTAAAATATTTTTGCCTTCTCCAAAAATGAAAAACTACCCGTTTGTACTACTTCTGTGTAATTTATGTGTAATCTATATTTTATATAAATTATGTAGAAATACCAGAAATGTTTGGTACCAGAAGTGTTTTGCATTCTAGATTTTCTGTTTTGAACTGGATTATATGAGTCTACATTGCCATATAAAGCAAATAATCTGGAATATATGGCAGTGTAAAAGGGGCCTCAGAGGTTTTGTTACCAGTTCCTTCCTCTGAAATTTAGCCTATAGAACCTGATAGATCGTTGGTTTGTTGTTTATTTGTTCAGTCGCTTCCGACTCTTTGTGACCTCATGGACCAGCCCATGCCAGAGCTCCCTGTCAGCCGTCACAACCCCCAGGTCCTTCAGAGTCAAGCCAGTCACTTCAAGGATACCACCCATCCATCTTGCCCTTGATCAGCCTCTCTTCCCTTTTCCTTCCATTTCCCCCAGCATCATTGCCTTCTCTAAGCTTTCCTGTACTTCATCTTGGCCTCTAATATCCTTCCCTCCAATGAGCAGTGGGGCTTTATTTCCTGAAGTATGGACTGGTTGGATCTTCTCGCGGGCCAAGGCACTCTCAGAATTTTCCTTCAACACCACAGTTCAAAAGCATCTATCTTCCTTCACTCAGCCTTCCTTATGGTCCAGCTCTCACATCCATAGGTTACTACAGGGAATACCATTGTTTTGACTATGCGATGTCTCTACTCTTCACTATTTTATCGAGATTAGACATTGCTTTCCTCCCAAGAAGTAAGTGTCTCCTGATTTCCTGGCTGCAGTCTGCCTCTGCACTAATCTTTGCACATAGAAATACAAAGTCTGTCAATGCCTCCACTTTTTCTCCCTCTATCTGCCAGTTATCAATCAGTCTTGTTGCCATAATCTTGGTTGTATCCCACCCAAGTACTAGTCAAAACCAACTCTCCTTGGGGATCTGGCATTTAGAGTATTTTGGCATGTATATTTGTGTGAGAGAGGAAAGGACTCTATTTTCTCAACTACTGCTGATCTCAATACTGATACGTATATTAGGTTCAAAGAAAAGTGTCTACAACTATTTGGCACACAGAAATACTCTCGGTAGATCTGGCATTTCATTCCTGAGTGTTCTAGTGGGTTCTGCAAGCCTCAGGAATATTTTTAGGGTGTAAGGAGAAAACGAATAATAGGACATTACTTCTCCATATCCTGAAAGTAGTGCAGCTGCACTCTCAATGCATCAAGAGCAAGGCTAACACATTAGTCAGGATTTATCTACAGCTCATGCTGTGGCTCCAGAGAATAAATGGAAATACTTCATCTTTTTTTTTAATGAACAGGATTACAAACCCATCCACATTGTAGTAAGCATCTAACACTCCTGCACTTAAGAGTGGGGTTTGCACATGGTTCCCAGCCCAGTGTTACAAAAATGAAGTTTTATATATATATACTGGTCAGAGCAGCTCTTTGCAAATCTTCAGTCAACATCTGTGTGTGGGATTAGAGATTTTAAAAGGAATTAAGCATCCTTGTCAAATGCAAGAGATCTGTTCTAAAATGTCACAAAAAATCCCTATAGATCTATATTAGAAAGGCAGCAGTTCACCATTAAAACCACAATGATAAACCTACAAACGGATGTTTGATTTAAGCCTGGTGCTTCTGCAGTGACCCAGACAGTCGGAGGCATTATTTTGCTTTGTGTTAGAAGCAGAAGAAATTGAGAACTTTAGCGACTGGACAGTGGATAGTGGAGACTTGGGGAAGAAGGCCAATCTATTTCAGACAGATGTTTTGTTTGCTCAGGCTATACATTTTTCTATCAGACCAGAGTGGCTTTACATCCTTTCATCATCACGGTTTGCTTAAACTGAATGCATTCCTGGTCCTGAAGGCATCTCTCTGCCGTGGACAATATGGGTCAAGCTAACAGAAGGGGGGGGGGGAGTTAGGCTAAGTGACATTTATACTACTTTTCTATAATTCCCTGAATACATTTGCTGAATTTTAATTTAACAGCATAGGTTGTCATAGTGATACCAACCTTAACAGCTATGATGTTAAGAATTTAGAGGGTAAAAATATATATATTTGGAACAACTATGGCAGTCTTATCATTGAAAAAATCAGTTCTCTACAGAAGCAAGTCATTATTATTAACAAGCTGGAATATTTGTTTTTATTTCTTCAAAACACCAATCATATTTTAGACATTTTTTATAAATGAGGAGAATGTAAAAATCTCGGTTCGGCTGAGTTGTGACATAGCCTTTGTAAGTTGCTTACTCCAGAAGCCCACATATTACTTTAGGAGAATTTTCCTAGTGCAAGAGCTACAACATCACTTCCATATATGATGTATGAGATATGCAACATGGTCAGTAATACAGCCATGACTCAATAAACCAGTGGTTCCCAACCTGTGGTCCTTGGGCCAGTAGTGGTCCGCAAGAACTAAAGTATGGTTTTATGGTCTGTGATCTCACCATTACTACACTGTTGCAATGAGAGCAACTGGTCTTGCAAAACTCTCTTATAGTGCTGAAGCTTATTAAATATGGTTTTCTGTGGGTGAGCAGATGGTGACTACTGGATGGCATATGTTCTGTATCAGAAACTAGAGCTGATGTGGTCTATCCAATGCAATTTTCTGAATCAGCACCCCAATTAATCAAACCAAATCTAAAATTGACCAAAAACTGATTTGTAATCCTTTTGGTACTAATGTTGGAGAGTGGTCCCTGGTCAAGAAAAGGTTAGGAACCACTGCAATGAACAGTATTAAGAAGACAATCCCCATATTTATCCCTTGCAGGAGTACATCGAATTACCACATTATAAAACAGGAATCGGGTGCCTTTGAAGGAAGGGTCTTGACAACCAGCGGCCTACAAAGGCCATTAATTCCTAAATCATTGAGTAATGTCTTAGAAGGAAGATAGAGATGAGACAGCAGGCAACAACTAGAAGTCTTTCGAAAGAAAAGTTCTGTGCTTCCAATGGGTCCAAATAAAAAAATTTAGTACCCTGTGTTCAGGCTAGTAAGCTAAGAAACAGATCCCGCTTTCAAGGAAACAAAATAGCAGAGGCACCCAGGTTTTTGCCGGCTTGCAAAAACAGGAGGGTTCACAGTACAACTACAAACATCATGAATGGCACAGAGGAAGTAAAATGTAAACTTCAGTTCAGGTACCATGCTAAAACGTAAGGAACATATGCAAGATAATAAATGATTTAGAGGACTTAAAGGGTTTTACTTACCGACACAAAATTATGGCACCACGATTCACATGTGCCCAGGTCTTTAGCTGGTCAACATTCACATGCTGCACCAATGTTCTTGCAAAGCATCCTGTTAAGTGTGGATATCAGGCAAGGCATTACACCACTCCATTACATTGCTCCAGCACAATATCTTTAACTACTCATTATTTGTTTCTCAATGGCCAATCTATACAAACATATGACTACTACTTCATACTTTTGTATACATATGACTACATGTGAAAGAACGTGAAAAATCAGGCCATAATAGGAGAATCGTTGAGCTGCTTCTACTCGAGTGGCCTACAATTAAACTGCTTTTGAGCTGAAATAACAAGCCTACTTAACATGTGTGGTCACAGTATAGATAAGCACTAGAAAAAGGGAGTAGTAAACAGTAATAGAAATGTGAATAAAACATTTAGCTACTTCAAATTCACCATATTTTTGTTATGTGTGAATAGGTGGGTTACAGCTTATAGTGATCCTCTCACATATTTTTATCAGCAAGATAGGAGCCCCTGGTAGCACAATGGATTAAACCCTTGTGCCGGCAGGACTGCTGATCGAAATGTTGGAGGTTCAAATCCGGGGAGCGAGGTAAGCTCCCTTCTGTCAGCTCCAGCTTCTCATGCGGGGGCATGAGAGAAGCCTCCCACAGGATGGTAAAACATCCAGGCGTCCCCTGGGCAACATCCTTGCAGATGGCCAGTTCTCTCACACCAGAAGCGACTTGTAGTTTCTCAAGTCGCTCCTGACACCAAAAAAATGGCAAGATGTATTCAGAGGATGTTTTCTGCTGCCTCCTTCTAAGGCTGAGAGAGTGTGACTTGCCCAAGACCATCCAGTGCATGTCCATGGCTCAGTGGAGGTTTGAGCCCTTGTCTCCTGGAGCCTAAGCTGCATCTACATTGTAGGATTCATGCAGTTGGACACCACTTTAATTGCTATGGCTCAATGCTATTGAATCCTTGAAACTGAAGTGGGGCAAGGTCTTTAATCTTCTCTGCCAAAGAATGCTGGTGCTTCACCATATTACAAATACCAGGATTCCATAGCAATTGTACTGTGGCAGTTAAATTGATGTCAAACTGCATTCATTTTGCAGTGCAGCTGCATCCTACTTCATTATTCTTAATTACCACACCACTATGGCCCAAACTCTTATACAAAGATAATATTTTCTACGCAGTAGGAGATATAGATTGTAATTTGCATGATATTAGCTTTTATTAGCTTGAGTCTTCTCTCTTCTGTGCTCCCAGCCTTAATCTTCTCTGCAACACAAGAACTGAATTCATTTGATACTGTCAATATGAAAAGTCTGCCTCCCCCCAGGCTGTATTGTTCCCCTTTCAATCACATAGCTACACCACTTCGTGGCTCCCCTTAGGACACTTCCTCCTCTTCTAAATTTCTGCCTTTCACAAAAGAATAATGTACTTGTGATCCTGGCAAGACATTCATACTTAAAATACCAGGATCTAGTTGTCCTGCTCACAGGCAAGATTCTTTGGTCGTGTCAGGAGCAATTTGAGAAACTGCAAATCGCTTCTGGTGTGAGAGAATTGGCCATCTGGAAGGACGTTGCCCAGGGGACGCCTGGATGTTGTGATGTTTTAACATTCTTGTGAGAGGCTTCTCTCATGTCCCCGCATGGGGAGCTGGAGCTGATAGAGGGAGCTCATCTGCGCTCTCCCCAGATTTGAACCTGCGACCTGTCGGTCTTCAGTCCTGCCGGCACAGAGTTTTAACCCACTGCGCCACCAGGGGCACAGATAAGATATAAAATGTATAATTAATACGATTTATTCTCATTGTTCATTACATGGCATTAGAAAAAGAGATCTCTTTTCCAATGCAATATGATACTTATTGGGAGCCCAAAAGCAAGACCTGAGCTTCATACCCCAATCCACCGTGTGTTCCCTGACATTGAGTACTGAAAGGCATATTTCTTGTTATGCTGGAGGGAATTTATAGTCATTGGTATATCTGTGATGTGTGATTTCATAATATTTAAAGATTTAGTATCATACCGTCTTTGCCGCTCTCCCTCATTTTTTCATCTTGTTCAATGAGCCACTTGAGAACCAGATGACCTGCTGGATGTTCAGCAATGTGGAGCTTTAAGACAACAGAAGAGTCATCATATGTTTTCTTACTTTCTCTTATTCCAGAATTTTTTTCTTAAGGAATTAGATTTAGGCAAATGCACACAGACATTTTTTTTTCATTTAAGTTGCAAACTAAGTAATCAATGATGAGCAGATACTAAGGCTCTGAACATTTAAACATTCATTCAGACATTAAGCAAAGGAGGGTCAATACAAATTTAAAGTAACCCGCATCCTCAAAGACTAAATTTCATTTTTCACTTATAACTCACTCCTTCTTGTTGCATACCGTATATACTCAAGTATAAGCAGACCCGAATTATAAGCCAAGGCACCTAAGTTAACCACACAAAAAAAAAAACTGGAAAAACATATTGACTCAAGTATAAACTGAGGGTGGGAGATGCAGCAGCTATGGTAAATTTCAAGATAAAAATAGACACCAATAATTTTACTTTTATTTTCTACTTGAATATTATGAAACTTGACACTTTCACAATAATATGATTATGTCCATTTAAAGGTGTTCTCCATTTCCTTCAGATTCTGAGAAGCCAAGGACTTATTTTTTGCCAATATGGGTTAATATATATTCAACGCTTCATACAAGATACATTGAAGCAAAGAGACAAGCTCTCAAAGACAGTCTCTAGTATACACTCGAGTATAAGCCGACCTGAATATAAGCCGAGGCATCTAATTTTACCACAAAAAAATGGAAAAATGTATTGACTTGAGTATAAGTTGAGGGTGAGAAATGCAGCAGCTACTGATAAATTTCAAAATAAAAATAGATAAAATTACATTAATTGAGGCATCAGTAGGTAAATGTTTTTGAATATTTATATAAAACTGTAATTTAAGATAAGACTGTCAAACTCTGATTAAATCATTATTCTAACTTTCTTCAATGTAAATGTGCTTTTGTATCCTTCCAATAATAATAGAGTAAAATAATAAATGTAATAATAATAATAGAGTAAAATAATCAAAATGTAGTAATAACAATAGCAAAGTAAAATAATAATAAAGTAAATGAATAAATGTAATAACAATAATAAATATAATAAGAATAGAGAAAAATAATAAATGTAATGATAACAAATAAATAGGGTAAAATAATAAATATAATAACAATAAAAGAGAAATATAATAAATGCAATAATAATAATAATAATAATAATAAATAGAGTAAAATTATAAATGTAATGAAATAATAATAATAATAATAATAATAACCCAGTAAAATAATAAATAACGTTGACTCGAGAATAAGCCAAGGGGAGCTTTTCAGTCTTAAAAAAGGGCCGAAAAACTCGGCTTATACTCAAGTATATACAGTAATTTGAGGAGTTTTAGAACTGTAGAACTTAATATTTTATGTTAACTATTTAATATTTTACAAAATGTTTAAAACAATGTAACGAACAGATAGCGCTATGCAATATTTTAGGTTCAGCGTACAAATTAAAAACAGATCTTCAGTCCAGTTTATTGGTTTCTTAACCATTTAAAAGATCAGCATGTTTTTGGCATTCACAAAGGGTGAGGAACCCATGATATAACCCAAGTGAACTATTTACGTTTAGCTAAAATATAAAATATTTATATGCTGAAATATGAGAAGAAAACATGTATGGATTATTTATATGCAGGAATGTGCAGGCATGCCTCAGTTAATAAAGCCTCTCACAAAGAAGCTGATTTTAGAAAATCTTTTTATGCTCTCTCAGCTCCCTTTTGCTCCTAATCCTGAAAGGGTGATAAAAGAGACTGAAGAAACATACGGTTTTGGCATTGAACTACAACAATATGTTTTCACACTGACACTAAATAGGTGTTTCCAGAATCCTTTGCTGAGTAAGTTTGAACAGGAAGACAGACAAAACAAGGGAGAGCAGATAACCTGAGGATACATGAAATGGAAGGACATGGTTGGATATGCCTGCACTTCAGCATAGTGTGCAGCAAAATAATGTTTTCTTTAATATTTTTAAGCCAGGATTTGTTGAATCTGTGGATGTAGAACCTGTGGATATGGAGGGCTGGCTGTGCTTCACTATACCTATACATATATATTCAGAAAGTGGAATATGCTGCTTCAGATTGTGGAGGAGTCTCCTTCTCAGGAGGTTTTTAAGCAGAACTTGATGGCCAACTGTCGAGTGCTTTGACTGTGTGTTCCTACGTGGCAGAGGGTTGGACTGGATGGCCCCTGAGGTCTCTTCTAACTCTATGATTCTATGAACCCCAACATACTATCTCCTGTGATCAATGGCATTAACATGTAAGCAGATTAAAGTCATCCCTAAAAACATGACAAGCATCTTTCATGATGATGAGCTGCTAAATCAATGTAAACTTTGAGACCCTAGGGCTGCTCTTGTTTATCCTAATTCAAAAGTCAAAGTACAGCAAGACTTACAAAAAAATTTAATGAATAATTCCAAAACTTGCTTGTCCAGCTCATTTACCTGCCCATCTTTGCCTCCCGGGACCATTTCTCTCGCAGCGAGACTTGCAATGGTTTCCATTGCAGGCTGTACGTCGCCCATGGCGTGCCTGAGGATACCAGTCACTACAATGAATGCAGCTTTGTCCATCACCATTTCTTCAGCATGAAGGTGCAGGTAATTCAACAAGGCAGGAGAAACAGCTTCCAGGAGTTCATGGCGGCGAACGTCCACATCTTTTTTACTGGTGGAACAGAAGCGTAAATAGCAGGATTTGTGTGTGTGTGTGTGTGTGTGTGTGTGTGTATATATATATCAATCACTACTTTGTACAAAATAATTCAACCATTTTTGCTGCCCAACTTAAATAGCAGTCCTATCATACTTCACACTGCTGTTTCCATATGTTATTCTTGAGAATAACATATGGACTGAATGACATAGGGCTGCAGTAGAACCAGAAATATGTAGTCAGGGCTATATGACAAGCAGAATCTAAGAGTTAAGGAGTAAAGATGTTCTTTTGCCATCCAAAACAGGTAATGGTCTGCCTACGTAGAAAAACTCTCACTGGAAAAGTGTGCCAAGACAGGAAACCAAGATAGAGACAGGTATTCAGGTATGAGCACCATAAGTGGCACAGTAAATTGTTTTTAAAATGAAATTAGAAATCTTAACACGGAAACTTTTCCGGAATATTGTCAGGAGGCTTACAGATATTGTACTGGATGTTGTCAGGATGCAACTGCAACTTTCTTTTATCAATCTCCCTAAAACAGAAGAAATGCAAACCCACAAAGGGTTTCTCCAGCATAAGTACCACAAAAAAATATGAAAGGTAATAGTATCTCCTCTCTGCACTCCTTAAGACAATTTGCACAGATGTATGCACCAAAATTTTTAATGCTAGACAGCTTTTCTGGAATTCATGCAGAATTTTCATTCAACCCACTGGGATCAAGAAGGGGTAAATGGCTTCTGGGCATAATATTTATCTGAGCATAAAGAAGTCAAAATGTAGCCATTTCAAGAGCAAGTGCATTTTCTAATTACCTGTAAGCATTCCCATCACCCTGTTGCAGGATTTTGATTATTGCTGGTGAGAAATATGCAGGGTCCCTTGGACTTAGGAGATATAACAAGACTTTCCTTCCATATTTGTTGTTTACAATGTTGGCTAAAGAAGTAGTTATTTCCTAAAAGTTGGGGAAAGATAAGGAGAAATCTTGTTATTCGTTTGAAAATGGTTTTCAACAAATAATTACATTTTCATTTTTACAATCTTTTCACTGTCATTTAATATTTAATTTTAAATAAATTCATCCTGGAAGTAAATAGGTCAATGTACTGATCCATGACTTGTAAATGTCACCATTTCAAAGGATGTATAATGACAACACTATTACCCCATGAACTCCACCCACTTGAGTATTTAATTATTTTTTGATTCTGGCATGTATATATTTTTAAAAAAAATGGAAAGCAAAAAAACCTGTTTAAAATATCTTAAAGCAAATTGGCAGGTATAATTTATAGAATCCTAGAGTTGAATGAGACCTCGTGGGCATCCAGTCCAACCCCCTGCCAAGAAGCAGGAAAATTCAAAGCACCCCTGACAGATGGCCATCCAGCCTCTGTTTAAAAGCCTCCAAAGAAGGAACCCCCACCACACTCCAGGGCAGAAAGTTCCACTGCTGAACAGCTCTCACAGTCAGGAAGTTCTTCCTAATGTTCAGGTGGAACCTCCTTCCTTGTAGTTTGAGGACATTGTTCCGTGTCCTATTCTCCAGGGTAGCGGAAAACACGCTTGCTCCCTCCTCCCTATGACTTCCACTCACATATTTATACATGGCCATCATGTCTCTTCTCAGCTTTCTCTTCTGAAGGCTAAACATGTCCAGCTCTTTAAACTGCTCCTCATAGGACTTGTTCTCCAGACTCTTGATCATTTTAGTCACCCTCCTCTGGTTTCATTCCAGCATGTCAACATCTCTTCAATTGCGGTGCTCAGAATTAGACACAGTATTTCAGGTGTGGTCTGGCCAAGGCAGAATAGAGGGGGAGCATGACTTCCCTGTATCTAGACACTAGAGTCATATTTATGCAGGCCAAAATTTCATTGGCCTTTTTAGCCGCCACATCACACTGTTGGCTTATGTTGAACTTGTTGTCCACAAGGACTCCAAGATCTTTTTCACACGTACTGCTCTCGAGCCATGCGTCCCCCATTCTGTATCTTTGCATTTCATTTTTTTCTGCCTAAGTGGAGTATCTTGCACTTGTCCCTGCTGAACTTCATTTTGTTAGTTTTGGCCAATCATCAAAGAGACTTTTAAGATCTCCAAAATCATAGAAGATCCAGGCACAGATCTCTCATCTCATCTAGTTTGACCTTCAACTAATCTTCAATAACGCCACCTCACAGAAATGAGACTAATCACCATGTACTTTCATAGGTCTCCCACCAGTAGAGGATAAAACGCATCCATTTAATGCAGGGGTCCTCAAACCTTTTAAAGAGAGGGCCAGGTCACAGTCCCTCGATGTGTTGGAGGGCCGGATTATCATTTGAAAAAAAAAATGAACGAATTCCTATGCGCACTGCACATATCTTATTTGTAGTGCTAATAAAACTTAAAAACAATACAATAACAAAAATGAAGTACAATTTTAACAAATATAAACTTATTAGTATTTCATTGGGAAGTGTGGGCCTGCTTTTGGCTGATGAGATAGGATTGTGGTGGTGGTTGTTGTGAATTTTCAAGTCATGTCAGACCTAAGTTGACACTGAGTGAGGGCCGGGTAAATGACCTTGGAGGGCCGTATCCGGCCCCCTGGGCCGTAGTTTGAGGACCCCTGATTTAATGGTTCAATTGATATTTAAAACTTAGGCTTCAATTTTGGTCAGAAGGCTGAAGGATAACTATAACTCAATATGGTAAAATGACTAAGAGATCCACACTCCCCCTTCCTTTCCTCCAGACTAGATCATTAATCAGAGCAACCAAGGCGGTCTTGGCATGGCACCCTGGCTTGAAACTGAATGGATCCAGGTTGGATTTCTTGGATTATGCTTTCAGGCCAGAGGTTTCTGTCCCATATTACAGGAATGCCATACATTCAATCTCCATATTTGAATACGGACTGAAACACTGAGAACAGAAATATCCTTCTTCAATGTCAAGATAAAAAGAAAAGCCTCACTCTCCCATATTTTAATCCCATGCATAATCATCTACTCAGAAGCTGATAGATTTAGCATAGCTTTAAAAAGCTTCCAGTGCATTATAACGCCTCAATAAATAAATTTCTTTTTAAGTTTCATTTTAAAATATAGGGCTACATACTCTGGCTCAAGTTAGTGGCTATATCTCCAACAGGAGTTTTTGTTTTAATTTAGGAAAATGAATTACTTACAGATAAAACCAGCTGTTTCACAAGTTTGGTATCATCAATGCAGTCAAACGCTGCCAGCAGAACCAAGTGTGAGGATTCACCCTGAAATATAAACCAGCAACCATGAATGCTATGCATCACAAAAGCCTGATTAATCAAGGAAGGTGGTACGCCACACGTATTAGCTGATTTACTAAGCATCATCAACAAAGACTACTCCTTCCAATTAAGACAGAAGCCATCAAGATCTGACAAGTGATTTCACTATATGTGATTTAGGTTATACACTAGTTCAAAGTAATTACTTGCAATTAAGTCTTGCTGAACTCTGAGAAAAGGTTAGGAATGCACTGCTATATAGTTGTGGAAAGTACCGTGTTAACTTAAACAGCTGTGTTGCCTCTTTGTACCCTGTTAAGCAAAACAGATCCATTTCAAAGGAAGACCTGTTCCATAGAATAAAGTCATATTTATTCTAGTGTATCTGAGCTAGCTATTAAGCCTCAGCCCAATACAAATTTGTATTAACTATGCTGCAAAAATTAGGTGTCATTTTATATGCATATTAGCATACGAAATCTGTTCACAATTGTCTATATACAAATCACACCTCTGTCCTTGTTATTTTGCTACAGAACACTCATCTCTACTTTATCAACATTCACATAATTTCTTAAAATTCATCTTTAAACACTTTAACTTCTGAATTCACAGAACCCTATATGTTGTAATTTTGAAATATTTAGAATAATATAAAAGTAGGAGTCTTAGCTGCAATCTTAAGCTTACTAGGGAATTATTATTATTATTACTATTATTATTTTCTTACCCATCTCTCCCTGTGGCTCAAGGGAGGTTACAACACAATTACTAAACATGAACAATGCAAAAATTCAACAAATATACATAAAGATCCATTAAAACTGCATTTCTATAAAATACATATTAAAATACACAAAACAGACATCAAGATAATAGTTAAAAACTTTCTGGATAGGCCTGCCAGAAGAGATGTGACTTTAGATGGTTTTTAAATTCTGACAGCTGATCTAGATGTCAGAGCTCTATTAGCAGGTCATTCCACAGTCATGGGGTGGCTGCTGAAAAGGTCCTCTGGGTGGTGGTTGCCAGTTGGGTTCTGGGAGGCTGGAGCAGATGCCCCCCAGAGGACCTAAGTGTTTGGGGAGGATTGTATAGGAGAAGGAGATCCTGAAGTTAATCTGGACCCAAACCACATAGGGCTTTAAAGGTCAAAACCAACACCTTGTACTTTGCCCGGAATCTAACTGGCAGCCAGTAGAGTGACATTAGGATAGATGATATGTGCTTACTCCTAGATGTTCCTGTAACCAATCTGTAAACCCTGGTGGGTAAGGAAACATGTATTTGCTTTTCAATATCTCGACAGGATTTCAAAAATACTTACAGTTGCTATTTTTTCTATGTATGTTTTCATCGTTTTTACAATAACTTTTCTGTCCTAAGAAGAGAAATGACCACAAAGGAATTAGAATATTATCCTGAAAATGAATGCACTGTTATGCTATATAAATAAAGGTTCTGTCATCAACCTTGTATCACAATAAATAAATAAACAAACAAACAAACAAACATTGGGGACCCAAGAACCCCTGAGAAATCTGAGACACTTAGGAGCCTGAGTTCTTGTCTGTGGAATAGAAGGATATTCTTCAAGCCTACTCAATGTGATGCAAAATGTTCTCAAGCAGTTCTACTAGTATGGTTTTGAATGATGCCTCAGGACTCTGGGAAAACAGGGTCTGAATCCCTACTCAACCACGGGAACCTTGGGCAAATCACACTCTCAATCTCAGAAGTCGTCACACAAAATGCCTTGGTTCCTTCAGCTCTCAGACATCAATTGTCCAGTGTCCACCATGAATTTATGGCCAAAGCATCCCATGTAGGAACAGTAGAGCAATCTAGAATTCCCATATCAAACTTCAGGAATTAATATAATTCCTATTAATTATTTCCAAGTATCTGGAGAGGACAGATATCAGGACTGGTGTTTTCCTCTCTCTTTCAATTATAAAACCTGCCATCTACAGAAAGGCACCTTTGGGAGATTCCTACACACATCTCTCAACAGAAAATAGAACAGGAAAGCAATTCTCAAATCTTGCTGAGTGCCACTTTTATCTGTTTACTAACAAGAGGTGTACATTGCTGTGCTAGTCACGGAAAAGGATTTGTTATTATCTATTTTTAACCCACATTGTCAACCTCCTTTTCTGTCTACACCCTGTAGTGTGTGCTTTCTTCTAACTCTGCACTGTTATAGATCTCGAGGAAATTAAGCTTCCCATCTGTTACATTTCTTTTTGTGTTTCCTACTATATCTCTTTGGTATTTCTTGCTTCACCCCTACAGTCTTGGAAACCAACCTTATTCCCCTTTCTACCATTGCAGGTCTCGGTCACCTCTTCTGTTTCTCTTTTTTACAGATCTCTGGTTTCCCACTGGTTCCTGCTTCTCACGTTCAGTCTCAAATTTTATTCTGTCCTTACTCCTCATTCTTATTCCTGATAAAATTTGATAGCAGTGGTATTCATCTCTTGGTGAGCAGTGCACACCAATGAAAGTGCCTCAGACAAATAAAGCAGCCCAACCAGGGTTTTTAAGAATGTTCCTGGAGTTATTTGGGACACTAATTAAGAAAATTGGATTGGATAGATTGCATCAGTTCTAGTTTCCCAGATATGGTCATTATGAGTTTCTATGGGCGAGCAGATGACAACTCATAGATGGCATATGTTCTGTATCTCAAAACCTAGAGCTTATAGGGGAAAACTGGTACCATTTTCAGAATCAACAGGTCAAATATACCCAGAAACATATCTAATGTTTGTGACACCAAAATGTGTGTTGGCTAATGTATTCAGTACAGCTAGAACTAAACCCTATAAACAGTAGTACTAATTGAAATCCAAAAGTAAGCAGGAGCCACTCATAAGGGTAAAAGTAGCTTTTTAAATTCCTCAAGGAATGGGAGACAAAAAAAAGGATCTGTCTTTAGCTTTCCAATTTTTACACTGATCAGACTACTAAAAAGATTGCAGGAGGTTGAAAAAGGAAGAACATTACATTTTTTCTTCTCTCTCTCTGGAAAAGCCCTAGGACATATCCTGACAGCCCTAAATCTAACATACAATTTTCAGCTTTAAGTATTGCCTAATAAAGAATAGCCAAATGGCTTTTTTCTGAAGTCTGAAATTACACCATGCCTACAGGGTGCTATATGATGAAATCCGCATGTCTTACCAATCACAAATCTAATTCAACATCCTCCTTAGTATCTCTGCGGTACTAAGTCTAACAGAATGGATGGCTGTTTCCACATTTTTACGTACCACAAATACAGTGGGCAGTTAGACACAGTTAAGTGGCTTGTAACTGAGTCAAAAAGAAAGCTCCTTGATGCTGATATTTTGATGGGCCACACAAAATTTCAGCCAACCAATCCATACCAATTTGTAGGATGGCTTTAACACATGTGATATTTTTCACATACGATACCTTGGGGGTCCCATGCCACAGGCAATGCATAGCTACTCTGGCTCCATCATGGGTGTGCGCCAAGTAGATTACAGCTTCTCGGATCGCTTCAATCATTTCCTAAACATAAAGAGTCCTCATTTCAATGAGATGATCTTAAGAAAGTTAACCATACACATCGGCTAACATTTAATGTTTTATTTTGGTATCCAATGGAGCAGAATTGAGACTCTCTTCACTTTGTTGCTTTTACCATAAGCTTTCATGGTGCTCCAAATCACAGATAACTTTCCAGTCTTGTAGGGAACAAGGGAGCAGCTAGAAATAATGGGAATCAATAGTTCTGGTGGAAACAGTGTGATCCAGCATAATTTGGAAAAATGATATCACAATCTTTTGGGAAATGGCATTCACAATAACCTTTTGGGAAATCATGAATCTCCTGGAGAAGAGTTAAAAACTTGCTTGAGCCAACCTTCTCCTCACTGGTAAATATCCACTAGTATTCATACAAGGCAATTAAATTACTGTTAAACTGATATACTTAGATCTTATTGAACTGTTAGGGACAAAGAGAGTCTAATACAGTCTCTGTTCACTAAAGCATTCTGCTTTTACTGAAGTCTCTACATTGAAAGTTTAATGACTTCTGAAAGCATAATGGAGTCTGAGTCCTAAACAATCCCAGTTTCCAATCACATGGTCCGCAGCCCCTCCCACAATATAGAGTTAAGGAAAACTGAATACCAATACACACACATACAATACAGTAGGCAATTATATACATAACAAACAACTAGTGGAGGCTTTAAGAAGGTTGCTATTTCCAACAGCATAAGTACGCCAACAAATCCTAACTAATTTCTACAATAGTATGAACAATATTATGTTGAACAAATTTTAACTGGAACTTTACAGTCATAAATGACTTGTTTTTGAATACTAGGGACCAACAGAAAGACAACCAAGGAGTTTGCCATTAGTGTGTGACCTGTAATGCTCTATTCCCCATAGCTATTATTAAGTAGGACTTAGGTATCATTATGTCCACTGAAAACAATGCAAAGAAGACTACATCCAAACTTCAATGTACATCAGAGTTATGCTGCCAGTTCCTCACCTATAAAACAGAACTCGCAAAGAGGCCGATGTTTCCCTAGCTTGATAAATGTGTCTGTGTTTTGGCTGAAGATGGCCAATCCATGTCTCATCCACAACTCTGCAGTTTATTCATTAATACTTGGGGCGGGGGCATATTAAAGTTAATCTGCTGATACTTACAGATCTCTGTTTAGGGAGTGCATGAGTAAAAAAGTCCAAGAAGACTTTATGTACCAACGAATGTTTTATTACAGCTTCTCTGTAAGATAAAAAAGTGAAAGAGAAGGGAAACTTTAAATTTCTATTTACAATTTGGAAGTAAAACATTGACTTGCAACAACATACTTGAGTTTATAACCTAGAGGGATGAGGTTATTACTTTCAGGTATATTTTTAAAGATAATACTTGACACAGAGGGCAATTGTTAATTGGACCTAACTAAGTTCAGAATATTTGTGTCCCAGAAAAGAAGTACTATGGAGAAGCACTAAGAACTTTTTTCCATTAAAGACCATTGGCCTTCTCACAATCCTGACAAAGAGGCACATTATGAAGCCTATGAACAAAAGTTAATCAGGTTATGATAAATAATTCTGGGTTGCTGTAAGTTTTCCAGGCTGTATGACCATGTTCCAGAAGTATTCTCTCCTGACGTTTCACCTATATCTATGGAAGGCACCTTCAGAGGTTGTGAGGTTTGCTGGAAACCACCATGTCAGACAATGACAGAGAAGTCGCTGGAATCCACAAGGATGTGGACAATTTCAACAGAAAGGAGGAAACCATGAAAATGAACAAACTCTGGCTACCAATATTCAAAACTCTAATATCATGACAGTAAATAAAGAACCATACTCATAAAACAGGGGAATTCCACACAGGAAACAATCAGGGCCAGCTAATACCCCCCAACAAAGGATTCCCCCAGGCAGGGAGCAGCCAGACTTTGAAGCTGCAAGGTTATTCACCGTTAATCAAGCTGGCCATTTGCAACATTCACGCTTGCCTCAAGCAGACAAGAGTTCTTTCTCCCACCCTAGACATTCCACAGATATGTAAAACTCACTTACTTAGTTTCCAACAGACCTCACAACCTCTGAGGATGACTACCATAAATGTGGTCAGGAGAGAATGCTACTGGAACATGGCCATACAGCCCAGAAAACTCACAGCAACCCAGTAATTCTGATCATGAATGCCTTCGACAACACATAAATCATTCTGTTTTCAGTACTCTAAAAAGCACAGGTATGTAATCATGGGAGTTTTAGTTCTACAAGGTCTTGAGCTTTCTCTGCCAAAAAGTGCTGGCACTTCATCAAACTACACATTTCAGGATTCCATAGCATTGAGCTGTGGTGGTTAAAATGGTATCAAACTGTATTAATTCTACATTATAGCTGGACCCTGAGTTGTGGTAGCCTATTTCCAACTTACACTTTCATAGCTCAGTTGCTTTAGTTGTGCAGAGGTTGAAATTCTTTACTGGCTCTATAATGACCACAATGCATCACTGCCATAAAAAAAAACTTTTAAGTGATGCAGCCACCAAAGTATGGCCATTTCTGTCATTTGGAAAAGGGGAGAGAGTCATGGGAGATGTTTTTTTCATGTCAGGAGTGACTTGAGAAACCGCAAGTTGCTTCTGGTGTGAGAAAATTGATTGTCTGCAAGGGCGTTGCCCAGGGGACACCCGGATGCTTTACCATCTTGTGGGAGCCTTTTCTCATGTCCCCGCATGAGAAGCTGAAGCTGACAGATGGGAGCTCACCTTGCTCCAAACGACTGACCTTTCGATCAGCAGTCCTGCCGCCACAAAGGTTTAATTCATTGCGTGTATACAGCTATTTTACTGTAACTGGACATGCCCAAATGATGTCATCTACAAGGATTTTCCAAAGACCTGTGGGAGCTCCCTCTGGACTGCCCATTTACAGGAAACTACAGGATAATGATAATAATAATAATAATAATAATAATAATAATAATAATAATAATAAAACACTTGATTTATATTCCGCCCTTCTCACCCCAAAGGGGATTCAGGGAGTATCATAGTACATATACAAGGCAAACATTCAGTGCTGCTTTGTATAGACAATACACAGACAGACAGAACAGAAAGGAGGTGTGTTGTTTCAATTCAGTGCCCAGCTATTTTGTTGCCATGGAAGGTTGGGCTCAAATCCAGCCACAGGAGGTGCTGTCGCTCCATCCTCTATGACAAAGAGCTGTCAGGACTTCCTCCTTCCTTTTGGTCACCCAGCATTTTCTGATCTTCTTTCTTTATGGTGTCATAAAACACCTCCGCCACTTTTTAGCGGTACCTAATTTCTCTAATTATAGCTAACACTGTTTTCGAACTGCTTAGATAAACAGTGAGCAGGGCTGACAGTCAGCAGCTCACACCAACCCGGGGCTTCAAACTTGCAACCTTTCAACTGACAGATCTTATAGTTGCTGGTGATTTATCAGCTGTGCTAAACCTCCGGATGGAGCAGACACACATCTAAGGGGTTTCAGCCCATTTTCATATTTATTCTTTCACATCTATTAGTAAAAAGGATTCAAGAAAAAATGTAAGCTGTGGTTCTTACTTCTGAGCCATTGGTGTAAGGATCTGTTTCATTTCATCTATAATGGCTTCTTGCTTTTCAGGCTGAGCTGCTAACACTGCATCCAAGGTTGGGTGCTCTGGTGACTAAAAAAATGAAGAAAAATAACCACAATTCATTTTAGTGACATAAAAATGCAATCAAGAGAAACACAAAAAATCCAACCACACCATAAAGCAGCTTTTGAATTCCACCTGTAGCCAGATATTCCTACATCTGGTACTGTGAGTTGGTAAATATATAAGAAGTCTAATATTTATAGGTTTCCAGTGGTGGGGAAAAATTCCACTCATGCACCTTCTAAGAACTGTACTGAATTGAAAAGTCTATGTTTACAACAGAATTGCCCAAAATAATTCCCAGGTAAAGATTAAGTCACAGTAAACTATTAAGATATATTACTTAATCATATTTGAAAACTTGGTGTAACCTGGAAAATGAATTGGTGGAACCTATTATAAAATGTAATCTTTATCCATGTGCAGTTTTTAAAAGCTTAGAACAGCAGGTATGAATATTTTTACATTCGCCGTGTTAGCTACCAAATGGTATGGTTTCTAATTAGTGTGCAAAGTGGAATTCCAGTTAATTGCTTTTTCATTTTAAAAAAGCCATAAGGCACAATCTTTAGTTCTTGAATAACATGATCCAGCACATAATGAGAACAGAATTTAACCAAAAACACATTAGTATTCATCATTTCAAAGGGTGTGAAAGAACTTCATTAAGCCTGCTTTAAAAGGTACCAGAATGGCTCTATTCAGATTCCCGAACAGCGCAAGTCCTAATAAACTGACTTCCAGTTCAGTGGCAACCAATTATTACTTTTAGGTCCTTAAAGCCAATCATTTTGATGAAGAGTGGAGCCCTTTGTGTCTGCAAGGGTCTTGCTCCATGGATACCAAAACCCATGAATCTTCAACTCATGTTACATAAAATTGTGTAGCAAAATAGTGTCTTTTATACAAAAGTGCAAAATTGAGGTTTGCTTTTGGAATTTTCTTTTTGGTGGGGGCAGTATTGTTAAGCTATGGATGGTTTGATCCGTGGATACAGAAACCATGGATACAGAGGTACCATTATGCCCCATTCAGAGAGTTGGTAAATATATAGGACTTCTTATACACATAGGCTTCCAGTGGATATGATTTCAAACTAAAAGCAAATGTAAAAAATCTTTTAACAGCTTTTAAATAATAGATTATCTACTAGAATATTAAGAAACCTGACACTTTCACAATAATTATGTCAATTTAAAGGTGCTATCAATTTCCTTCAGATTCTGAGAAGCCAAGGACTTATTTTTTGCCAATATATATATTCAACACTACATACAAGATACATTAAAGCAAAGAGACAAGCTCCCAAAGACAGTCTCTAATATACACTCAACTATAAGCCAACATGAATATAAGCCGAGGCACCTAATTTTACCACAAAAAATGGAAAAATGTATTGACTCAAGTATAAGTCAAGGGTGGGAAATGCAGCAGCTACTGGTAAATTTCAAAATAAAAATAGATACCAATAGAATTATATTAATTGAGGCATCAGTAGGTAAATGTTTTTGAATATTTACATAAAACTGTAATTTAAGATAAGACTGTCAAACTCTGATTAAATCATTATTCTAACCTTCAATGTAAATGTGCTTACATATCCTTCCAATATTAGTAGACTAAAATAATAAATGTAATAAAAATAAGAATAGAGTAAAATAATAAAAATAATAATATATTAAAATAACATAAATGTAATAACAATAATAGAGTAAATAAATGTAATAATAATAGCATAAAATAATAAATGTAATAATAATAGCATAAAATAATAAATGTAATAATAATAATACTTAAATAATGTAACTGTAATAGTAACAGTAATAAATAGAGTAAAATAATAAATGTAATAAAATAATAACAGAATAAAATAATAAATAACCTTGACTCGAGTATAAGCCAATGGGGGATTTTACAACCTAAAGAAAGGGCTGAAAATTTTGGCTTATACTCGAGTATATATGGTAAGTTGGAAAGATGCTTAATAAAGCTGTGCTTTAGTGGATGGGCTGGAATGGGGTAAAGTACGATACTTTTAAATTTCAGTCCGTTTATAAATTAACTAGCGCATACAGAAAAAATTGTGTATTCAGCTTTAAGAGATAATGCATTTAATGAAGCAACCAAGATGTCAATTAGAGTTGCACAAATCATAGATTTTACAATTGTCAAGAGAGTTCCAGCAAATATATCTCATCCAAAATACTCTGCTCCAAGAGGTCACCTAGAGCTCAGAATAAAAATGTAATCTAGAGGAATGGTATCTGTGTTGATACGTGTAGGGTACAACACACATAAGCACTCATTTCAAGGTTCCTGTTCTGGAACTAAGTTGTTCTATTTTCTTTTCATATTTGTCTGTTTTCCCTTTTCTTTCTCATAAGGCTTTGCATTTCTATATGGTAGGTTGTGTTGAGAGAAGCTAGGAAACGAAAAAGGAAGTTGTCTCAGTAGATCACCTTGTAGACTTGGAATGTATTCCCATAAAGCTCCTCTGTCAACATGTTTCTTTGCTCCAAAATGGCTTTGTCATTGTATGCGTACTCCACAACAGCGGACGCTTCAGCATGGCGCAGCATCTTCCTCACCTCTCCTTTAAAGCTTTTAATGATTTCTGCAATTTGTGGCTTTGTTCTGCTCCGGGAATAAGTGAACACCAACACCCAGCAGGACAAACAGACAAAAAGGAAAACCAGACTTGTTAACTATAGCAAATACTTATTTGAAAACTACACATACACATACAGAGCAATAGTTGCCATCCTTGCATCTCAATCAATATGAGTCTTATCAGGTTTAGAAGAGAATGATATCTACATACATATTTTGACACCCTTGCATCTCAATCAACATGAGTCTTAACAGGTTTGGAAGAGAGATAGATAGATAGAATAATTTTGAAATCATGAACCATTATTTTTTGTTTCTTGGTAAGCCATATACCTCCCCACTCTAGACTTCTAAACTTTATGGACTAGTGCCAAAACTCTCTGGAAGCCAAAATATAGTATATACAACAAAAAGCATGCAAAACAAGTATTGTTTATAGCAGAAGTGGGCAACTGTGGGGACAGAGGCCAGCGTTGGCTCCTTAAGAGACTTTGAAGGGCTGTACCCCAATGGATTTTTTTTTAAAGATTGTATTTTTAGCTCCCCCTGGATCATTTTAGACCAAATATTTGGAAGTCATTTTTTGTTTCTGTATTTTAAAATAGTGCCTTCTGGCCCTGTAATGATGTGTGCCAAGAATGCACCCTATAGCCCATAGAAGTTATTGGAGGGCATTTAGGGGCAATTTGAGCACTAGGGAAGAAAAGAAAACCACACATGAACTTCAAACTAGATTTCCCACACCCTCACTTAGAGAAATAACCCGTTCAAGTGTTGAACATGACACTTCCTAACAATCTGCAATATTTTATGTTAGTATTAGGAGATGATACTTTTGTATTATAAATTCAATACCCACATAAACGTAAACAACATCTTTTTCCTACTTGAAAAAGGTACAAGTAGCAGCCAAGCATAAGTACAGTCAGAGTAAAGCATTTTCCTAGTCTTGCTAAAACCCCATCTACACTAAGAATTTAATGCCGTTTCAAATTGGTCTTGAAGAAAGTGGTTGCACTGTGCAGATGATTTCAGAGGGAATCCTGGAATCAGTTTGAGGCCCAGATGATGATAGCACCAATGTACATTAAGGGCTTTCTTTTATGTGCTTTTGTATGCAATTGTTATCTGGCTGCTGTTGGTTTGAAGCTAGCTTCGAACATTAAATGATCAGTGCAGGTGGGGCCTGAGCAAGACCTTTGCTCCGAAAGCACAGCAATCGCCTCAACAGGACCACTTAATGGAAGACATGAGGCATCAAGGACAATCACTCACATGTTTATTCTTTCAAATCCCATTTTAATCATCTTGAGCACCTTGCTACAACAGAGGTTAGACATTAAAAAACCAACTTGCCAAAAATTGTAAAGTTACCACATACACATTTGTAGCCAAGAATCAAAGCCAAAGTTCAAGTTTTAATCTTTTACATGCCAACTCTCTAAATTATGCCTGGTTGCCTCAAACTGGAATCAATCATACACACAAAACATGAACCAAATATAGGGTTATTTAAGTTACCTACCCATAGATGAGAAGTTTCTTCACAATATTTCTAGAATATTTGGACTTGCTTAGTTCAGTGAAACTCTCTGTGGAATGAGAAATCACAGTGAAAAGCCATAACAACAATGAAGTAATGTACACATAAAGGCTATATATCTAAAGAGTATACCTTTTAATTCTTCAAATACCTCTTGTCTTTGCTTCTCATTGCCATATTGAATATAACACTGGATGACACGGGTTGAGTCATGAGCAAACGCCATCTATGGAGAGAAATGAATCCATTCACCCACATACTTTAGGTGGCATTTTGTTTTGGGCATTTATCTTAATAGTTTATTTTGTGTCAAAGGGAAAGGTTTCCCCTTGGCATTAAATCTAGTCATGTCACTCTGGGGGTGATGCTTATCTCCATTTCTAAGTTGAAGAGCTGACATTGTTCGTACACCTCCAAGGTAATGTGACCAGTAGTGCATAAATAAACAAGTAATGCATAAATAAACAACCCAAAAGCACTGCATTACAGCACCTTAATAGTTAACAATAACTGTATTTCTGAATAAAGACTATAGCTAACTGAGGCTCTAAAGATACTATATTAGACACACATATTACAATAAACAATATGGTGCTCAAGGACAGATTGTCTAAGGCAAGAAATAAACCAATCCGAAGGAGTTTAAATTCAAAGACATAGTCATGTTAGTCCAGAACATCAGAGTAATGGAGTAGCATTTTAGCAATTAGCTGGGAAAACAAAGTTGGCAGTGGTTCTCAACTTGTGGGTCCTCAGGTGTTTTGGCCTACAACTCCCAGAAATCCCAGCCAGTTTACCAGCTGTTAGGATTTCTGGGAGTTGAAGGCCAAAAATCTGGGGACCCACAGGTTGAGAACCACTGCTTTAGGTTAACAAGTACAGAATATTTCCTATCACAATTTGTTGCAACAACTGAAACATTAAATGCATGCAAAACATACAATAGTATGTAGCCCAGGCTGGATCAGAAACGAATTTTTATGTAAAATGGCAGTGGAGATCCCTAGCTAAGGTGAAAGCCTTTCTGGCCCAAGGGCCTTTCTCAATCCTTGATACAATCATTTGGAGTGGGGAAATATTTCTACTTCCTGTCATGTGTTCAGAAATACCTGTCATGTGTTCAGAAAAATGGTACAACATGCAGTTTTGCCATTATTCAAAAACATTTGTAAAAACGTTTCCAAGAAATTTCTGAATTGTTTCCTAGTATTTAGTATTTTGTGATTATGCTTTGTTTTATTTATTTTTGCACATAGTTGTCTTACATTTTTTATTTTCCCATGAAGCAGCTTCTGAAGGTCACTCAATAGCTTGTTCCGTTTTTCCTTGTCACAGTCTTTCCTACCAAAATAAGCAGATCCAGAGGGGAATTAATATTCTTTTCTACACAATCAATTTGCTATGAAATGTAAGAAAAAAGCTGGCATCCTCTATATTTACAAAGCATCTAAAAATTGTGGCCAACAAAAAACCAATAATATCAATATGTATAAGTTGTCTAAAGATTCCAATATGTTATGCCTTGTGTTTCAAGTGGGCTTAAGTTCATTACTTTATAATCAAGAATTATTCTAAAGCAATACAAACCTTAGATTAAAAAATGTAGTCATATATACACTGAAGATACAAAACAGCATACTCTCAGGTTTCAACTGTAATGGCAAGATAAGACCTCAAAAATGTTCTGCCGCATTGGCAGAAAACTGGGTGGAATACAAAGTGCTCAGGCTGGTGCTGATTTTAACCTTGGAATCACATCATATCAAGATGAGGGATAGTGATTTGCCCAGACATTTCATCAGCTCTAAAACTGTGCAGGGATCTGAAGCCGAGTTTACAATGGTCAAGCCAAAAACATCACAGACCAAAAGGCAACCAGGATTTCAGGAAATTCAGCTCAGTTTTCTTTGGTTCAAAGTTTCCCCTACAACGACGTCCTTATATATTTAAAAATCCGCCGATAAGCAGTAATAGATATTCTAACTGAACATGCCAACCCATATTCTTAATTTTATAATCCATCCATACTTCACTACAGTGAAGCAATGTCTACACCTGCACTATAGTGAAAGGTAAGAAAGAAAACGATTTCCATATGCAGTGGAATGCTACAGAAAATAAAATCAAAGTCATTTTTACCGCCGGAGAGCTTCCCAAATCTGTTTTCCTTTAAGCACTGCCTCATAGTTGGTTTTGTCATTCAGCTGTCGGCTCTGCTTCAGCTCCTTCTTTTTCTTCTTGATGTCGTCCCATTTAGGCTTCTTAGGCTGCAACCCTGATGATAAAAATTAAAATCGACTCTGATGGAGCACATTCATCAGCATTAACCAGTTCATTAACATAATGCCGTTTGTTTGATGCTGACTATCCTGCTCATGGGATCATATCCAACACCAAGCCATCTCCAACTAATTCTTATTCATTTTGCTTCTCCTTCCTATTTTAGCAATGTCATCCTCAAGCAAAGAAGGCAACAGCTTATTCTGGAAATCATGCCTATTACCCTGTCTAGCTCAGTATGTTCTATTCTAAAATAGGTAGATCATCCACCACATCCCTTCTTCCAAAGCATTTTCACAGCGGAGGTTAAAAAACATCCCTGACACACAAAACATGTATTCCTGTTGCTGTGTTTGAGGTCCTTATATCATCCCCACATTACAGCCTAAGAAAATGTCAGAAAGACTTGAAATCTCAAGTCGAAGACCTACCCAGCCCAGCTCTTCATATTACCATATATTATGCTCACCACAAATGTGCTACTGCTGCCACCTAATGTGCACAACAAGCCACAGTCTTGGAGCTGAAAAGGCTGGGAGAGTAAGGAATCAGCCATGAATTTGCACAGCAATCTCTCCACAGCTCCGTGCTGAGTGAAGAATTGGAACTTCCTAAGTTTATTATTAATGTGAATTTACAGTATCCATAGATTCGATATCCACAGTTCCACTTACCCACATTCCAAATCCTCCCCCAAAAACACTCTATGGAAATATTTGTGGACATCTCTAGGTCCTCCACAGCAATTCTATGGTATGCCCCACGTATAGTCAAAATATCGGTGTCGCTATTATTCACGTTTCCAGGTATCTGTGTGTGTTTGTGTCTTGGAAGATATCTTCCATGGATATTAGTGTCATATTTAACCCCTTCTACGTTGCATTTCTTTGCATCTACACATGGTAGCATGCATAAGTAAGATTAAAATATTTTGGGTTTTGGTTCTTATGTAGATGAGATGCTCAAAACATCCCAGTTCAGCAGTAGCCAAACCATCAACCTCCTTGTCCATCTGCATGCAAGAAATGACAACAGGAACTTTCTCAGTAACCAAGTCAACAAGAGAACAGCAGGAGTGTGGCAACTACCTGTTTTGCTTTCACGTTCAAGACTATGAAAGTGTCTCACTACTAGACTGTATCAGCTCTCAGGACAAATATGAGTCTACAATATCTTCAAACACATATTCTACTAGATAGAAATAGCCACCCATGAACCAGTATTCTTTAGTTGGATGATAGAGGAAAAAAGAAAACAAATACAGTTTCAAAAATATACCACAATGAAAGATGAAACGATAAAAGTAGCACTATTTTTTTAAGAGGACACAACAAATGGTCAACTAGATCAGAAACTAAATCGAAGGCTTATTTTTAACATAATTTGTTTTAAAAGCATAAATGAATGGGGCAGATTATTTTATGACAGAGCTGCCCAAATTAAATAGATCTGCCCATAATGTTATCATGGAGATCACACTTCTGGCAAAAAAATGTTCCATATGCTTTTTATGGAGTAAAGGGACATTACTATCATGCCTGCCCCCCTCCCCGGTCATTTTAGGATAATCCCTTATTCTAAAACAGGCCTTTCCTAGGTTTAAAATGACCTAAGGGTAAAAAAAAAAAGTCCCATGTCTCCCAGAAAGCATTTGTGGAGTTTGTTCTCAGAAGGTATCAAATCCATCTGAACAAATTTTAAAGGAATAAAAAAAAACATGCTGAAGATATGCTGTAAAAAGCAATTTTCCAATACCTGTACTGAAGTGATTTGATACTTTTTGATAGTTTTGATCTGAACATAATATTCTTCTTTGAAGCAACAATATCCTGCCACCTCAAAATCATTTTGCTTTTTTAAAAAAATCTGGTACCTTTTGGATATAAGGTCCACATTTGAAATCTTGCCCGTATCCCCAAATCTTAAAAGAAAAAATATTGACCTCTGGGGATCAAAATCATTGGGGTCCCCAGATGTTTTTGGCCTACAATTCCCAGAAATCCCAGCCAGTTTAGCAGCTGTTAGGATTTCTGGGAGTTGAAGCTCAAAAACATCTGGGGACCCCAGGTTGAGAACCCCTGATATAGAGCCTGCTGGCAGCACCTTGCCCACCTCCAATCGTAAGTTTATCCAAGAAGGACTACAACTGGCTGGATGCCACTCTTTCAAGAAGTATCCCCAGAGAGAGAATTTGGGCTATCTGCCTAGAATTGCTATCAAATACACCCTTCTGGAAGAGATGCCAGACTATGGCATTAAAAAAAGACGGGGCCAATCTTTTTCTCAATAGGAGGCAGAGTGCTAGATGATATTCAGAGTCTTCATGTGCTTCGCACTCTCCTAGCTTTACCACTTTTAACTCTGTGTTGCTTGACCGAATACCTGGCAGGTCGGTAAACATACCTAGCCATTAAAATATTGATATTGAATATGAAATGTAGATTTTGATCAGCTGGGACCAGGATCCCATTCTTGCAGTGTTTGTATAGAACAGCAAGAAACGCTCTGCCCTTAACATTACAGTACCCACATCCCCGAATCTCAGGCGTGCTCTTTTTCAGGCTTGCTGATTTCTAGATTCAGGCACATTTTAAAAGTCCTTCTCAAAAGCATAACATTCACTATTAGCTAAAAGTTTTTCTTGAAATGAACATATTTTAAAATTTATATTCTCACCTCCTTTTTTGTTATCTTGAAGTTTGCGTTTCCTCGAGAATTTATCTGAGGGTTGTTTACTCTTGAATTGTTTTGTGCCTGCTTTACCAGGTTTTTTGTTTCCTCTCTCAAATTTCTTGGATTTAAATTTCGGCTTCCCTTCTTCACCTTCTTTTTTACTGAACTTCTCTGTAGGAGCAGGATTGCAACATTAAAGAAAATAAATAAATAACAGCAATATATACATACATACACATGCATGCATGCACACACACAGGCATCTAAAACTACTATATTTTTTCAAAGTCAGCCATGATATTTTAATTTAGGATATCTTCTTACCTTCCCTATGAATTAAACGTAAATATACATGAATAGTACATTACATACTGTATTTTTGAAAGACGAAAGGCCTCTGAGGATTGTTGAATAAAAACGTATTAACATTTTGAAATATTAGATTACTGATGATATTTGAAAACATATACGTCCTATGCTGTCGCTTCTATCTCTTGGGTGAGGTATAATTTTAAAAATTGTTATTTCTTACTCTGTGGTACAAATCAATTCTAATCAAATCACCTTCCACTTCCACAATCAGTCCTAAGCAAAATTAAGCAAGCTACAGATGACGCCTTACTTACATTCTGAGGAATACACTCAAATTCCATGAATAAGCAATTATAAGGAACATACAGTACATAACGAACGGTTTATATGTACAAGACCTTGTCATTTTTGTCTGTTGGTTTTCACTATGCTTTTGAAGATTTGTAGTGTCATCATGAGATAAATCAATTTACATAGCTATAGGCCAGATTAATGATATAATTCATTATATTATGTACATAAAACTAAATATTTTGCCCCTTTCTTTTGAGATTTTAAAACACTCAGCTAGCATTTCATAAGTTCAACAACGTATTTCTTGTGTTTTCCTCGGTCATTCAGTTTACCTTCGCTTCTAGAGTTTATTTATGTCGAGTGCATCAGCTTTATAACTACCCAACCTAGTGCCATCCAAATATTCTGGATTGGTGTTTCTTATCAGTCTCAGACAGTATTGTTAGTGATTACAGCTTATGGAAGGAGTGGTCCAAAATCAGGAGGGCACCAGACTGGGGTGGATTGTTTTCATCATTCATTGGCCTTACCATTATTCTTTTTAAACTTCTTTCTGCCAGGGCCTGCTTTTCCACCTTGGCCTGGGAACTTTCTTTTGCCTTTGGCTTCCATTTTGTTATTGCTGCAAAACACAAAAGATGGTAGTGGTGTCTCATGAATATTTGTCTTCATGTTATAAATCAAATTCCAAACCCATTTAAAATATCTGAGCTTAGGTTTATTTCAGTGCATGCCCCTCTTTATTTGTTTGAAAGAATCTGACATCACAACTACCAATGTTACAAGTGCTGTTTGACAAATAGCACACAATGGGAAGTGAATGTAAATGTTTATCACATCAGATTAGTATAAGTAGTAAATGAAGGAGCCAACAAACATACTGATTTATTATGATAACAATAGAAAGTGATGAAAAAACTAAAACAGTGATAATCTATTTATACCCATCATATAAAATAAAATAGAGAACATCAGTTCATAATTTGGCACAAAATCCAATATCTTACTGCACATTATTCTACTACAGAAAATTGATTCAGTTGTAAATTAGAATAATTCTTGTCAGAAAGCTGTAACTTTTATACAGCATGGCATGCTCAAAAAGAAGGGAACTTAATCATACCTATCATCTTTCAAGTTTAGTTTCAAGTGTTAGCTTTGATGGGATACACTCTATACAAGTACAGAGATATGAATGGGCAAAGCATGTCAAGCAGGCCATAAATACAGGTTGTGTCCTTCATTCAAAATGCTTGGGATTGGAAGCATTTTGGATTTTTTATAAACCCTTGTGCCAGCAGGACTGCTGACCAAAAGGTCTGAGGTTCAAATCTGGGAAGCGGGGTGAGCTCCCATCTGTCGGCTCCAGCTTCTCATGCGGGGACATGAGAGAAGCCTCCCACAGGATAGTAAAACATGCTGACGTCCTCTGGGCTACGTCCTTGCCGACAGCCAATTCACTCACACCAGAAGGGAATTGCAGTTTCTCAAGTCACTCCTAACATGAAAAAAAAAAACCACAAGAAAGTAAAATGTCATTTTGTCAGACACTCTGGTGGACTTTTTTGGAATATTTTGCATTCCATAAAAAGCAGGCATGGGCAAATGTCGCTCCTCCAGCCTACTGGCTGTTAGGAATTGTGGGAGTTGAAGTCCAAAACACCTGGAGGGCCGAAGCTGGCCCATGCCTGATATAAAGGATGCTCAACCTGTACTGTACTGCTTCTAGCAATACAGATCGGATGGTAAACAAAACACCTGCTTTCTATTTACTGCTTGTGCTACTCTTTAAAACACTGTAGATTAGAATGAATGCAGTTTGACACCACTTTGACAGTCATGATGCTATGGAGCTGTGAGAGTTATAGTTTTGTTGAACTACAATGCCCAGGTTTCCATAGCATTGGGCCAGTTCAGTTAAAGTGGAGTCAAACCGCATTCATTCTACAATACAGATGCACCCTCAGCTGGTCAGATTGTAGCAACACAATGAAACAAAACAAAACACAAAAAGGAAAATAATGGCACTAACTGCAGATATATCTGCAACAAAAATTACATAAACTGGTCAAAGGGATGGGAAGAGACTAAGAGTGTATGGAGGAGAAGGATCAACTCAAACACACCATGAGGAGTCTCCCGTTGGACTACAAATCCCATCAGTTCCAATCAGTCACGGAAGATGGGAATGGCAATCTATTTGGAGGGCGACTTTGTTCCCCAGGCTTGCCTGATGAAGAAGACTCAACACAGAGTTCAACAAGGGCAGAGTTCATAGGGTTTTCTTAAGCTGAGGTGGTTTTGCCAGGTCCTTTCTCTGCAAAACATGGCCTATAGGAACTGGGCATCGTGGGCGGTCTCCCACCCAAGCACTAACCAAGGCTGGCCCTGCTTAGCTTCCAAGATCAGTCAGGATTCAGGGCCCTTGGGATATTTAAGAAAAGTAACACTAAGCTCCTCCACCCTGAGAAAACAGAACCCCTCTATCAATACTCACCTCCACTCCCCACGTGTTCCTCTTTCCTCTCCTCTTCGGTTACTTCCGGCAGCTTTTTTTTTTACTTCCGCGGGTTGATGGGAGGTGGTGCGACAGTGACGCGAATAAGCCGCCGTAAAGCAGACGCAGAGAGGAACGCGCGTGACTTTCCGTCCAACATTCGAAAATAAAGTTGCTGTTTTGGTGGTCGAATGAGAACCGGAGGAGAAGATTGTGCGCTTAGTCTCTCGTCTCAGCGGATGAAAAACGCAGCAAAGTTATAGACGTACTGATGTAGAAAAAGGTTAGAGTAAAATGTCGCTCTCGGATTCCGGGTGTCTTTGGAGAAAAATAAGACATCTTTTTTTTTTTCACTGCTGAAGCTGCATTTTGTATCTGTCTAAACTCCACTGGACCAATGGGATTTTTTTCTGCAATGAATTAGAGTTGCCCTCTGTCTATGAAAATGATCAAAACAAGCAAGGCATTGGTTCTGAGCTGGAAGAGGAGCTGCTGAATGTGATCATTGAATTAAATGGACCTAAATGAATGGATGAATAAATAAAGAACCACACTCAAACACAGGGGAACTCTAGGCAAGAAACAATCAGGGACAGCTAATCACCTCTCAACAAAGGATTCCCCCAGGCAGTAAGAAGCCCGACCTTGAAATTGCTAAGCCATTAAATGCTAATCAAATAGGCCAATTGAAACATACACCCACCTCCAACAGACAAGAGTTCTTTCTCCCACCCTGGACATTCCACAGTTATATAAACCCCATTTTCCTAGTATCCAACAGACCTCACAACCTCTGAAGATGCCTGCCATAGATGCAGGCGAAACATCAGGGAAGGATGCTTCTAGAACATGGCCACACAACCACACAACAACCCACTAAATGGACCTTTGCTGAGATATGTTGGCTGCCTCTATATAGTACTTATTTCATTATTATTATTTTTAGTTTTTGAACATACATAAAACTTGGTATTAGAGACATAAATAATATAGAAGGAATTCTTGCACTGTATTTATTTATACACACACATGCATGCATACACAGTTTCTAGCAAGTCAATTTATAATCCAACACCAAAAAAATCTGTGTTTCTCTAGCCTCGACAGATTTCCAATCCTGATGCTGCTAAAAAAGCTTCCAGCTAGGAAGAGGACAAGAAGGAAAAGGGAGAAAACAGCAACAATAAAAAAACCTTGTTTTTTTTAAAAAAGGAGCTTCTTTGTCAGTGTCTTTGTTTACCAAGGTATGCCTGTAACACATATCAAAATTATGCATTAGTTGGCTAATGAATTGAAAACAAAACATTTGCCCAAATAAAAGTACAGAAGCAGCTCTCCAGTATTCATTTTTATCCTTTTAGTTTAATCAGTCTGAACAAGCTAGTTTTCATGTGCAACTACATATATAGATGACTAAATCATATGATTGGATCCCCTAGCTGCTATTATTATTATTATTATTATTATTATTATTATTATTATTATTATTCACTTTTATCTGGATTGAGATACAAATGGATTTTTTTATGTTCAATATCCTAAATGCACCAGATCCCATCTGGTCTTGGACACTAAGCAGGTTAAGCTCTGGTTAGTACTTGGACGGAAGATCATCACCCAATACCAGGTGCTACACCCCAGGCATAAGAGCCCCCGGTGGCGCAGTGGGTTAAACCCCGGTGCCAGCAGGACTGAAGATTGACAGGTCGCAGGTTTGAATCTGGGGAGAGGCAGATAAGCTCCCTCTATCAGCTCCAGTTCCTCATGCGGGGACATGAGAGAAGCCTCCCACAAGGATGATAAAACATCAAAACATCCGGGCATCCCCTAGGCAACATCCTTGCAGACGGCCAATTCTCTCACACCAGAAGCGGCTTGCAGTTTCTCAGGTCGCTCCTGACACGACAAAAAAACAAAAACAAAACACAGGCATGGGCAAACTTCAACCCTCCAAGTGTTTTAGACTTCAACTCCCACTGGGGGTTAGGAATTGTGGGAGTTGAAGTCCAAAACACCTGGAGGGCCAGAGTTTGCCCATGCCTGCACTATAGCCTGTATTTCAGGGGAAAGAATAAGCAAAACTCACCTCTGATTATTCCTTACTGATGAAATTCATGGGGCTGCCGTAAATCGGCCCTCTTCATTCTGTGGCCCTCCAGATGTTTTGGGCTTCATCTCCCAGAATTCCTGACCATTGGACAAGCTGGCCAAGTCTTCTGGGAGTTAAAGTCCCAAACAACTGGAGAGCTGCAGGTTGAAGAAGCCTGCGGTAAATAAACAGGTGACCCGAAGGCACCCACTCACCACCAGATGTCGCTGGCATCTCACGTACTATCACCTGTAGCCAAAGTCATCTGATAAATAATAATGGCATCCCATATAAATTATTGCAGGTGTTCAACCTATGTATTCATTTTCAACATTAGCAGAATCGTGGATTGGTGTGATAAAATAATTTTTAAAAAGAGCAAAATCTGAAGGTAATGGAGTAGGGGGTGCTGTCTTCTTATCTAATGCACAGAACAGCAGCAAATATTACGGAGACAACAGAGTGAGCTGTTAAAAAATGGGTACTTGATGCTGGGGAAAGGAGCATTGCATAGCTGCATCCAGAAAACGTAGGTTGCATCCTAAGGTATGGCATTCTCCATTCAGGCTTTTGACACCCACCTACCCCTAGACTTAGGGTTAAATCTCTCGACTTCTGGAAATATTTCATCAGCATTGCCTCTGAAAAATCATGCAAATCTCTTGGGAAGACAAGTGGACAAAAGTCAGTATTCTGGAAGAAGCAAATACTGTACAGCCAGCTGAAATTATTATTCTCGGCCAACAACGTTGCTGGAAGGACCACAATGTCTAAATGCCTGATTACCATCTCCCAAAGCAGTTGCTTTACTCTCAACTCAAGAACAGAAAACAAAATGTCAATGGACAGCAAAAGAGTTTTAAAGATTAAAGCTAACCAAAATAATATTGAATAAACACAACGAACTGGCACTTCAGCATCCGAACTGGAGGTCAGCTGTTACCAACAGTGCTGTGGATTTTGAGAAGGTATGAATAGAGGGCAAAAGGGAGAAATGTGTCAAAAGAAAGGCACATCAAGCCAACCCTTCTCAGGAACACCTTCCATCTGGAAACTGATGTCCTCATTGTAAAAGACAATGCAGATCCAGAATAGGTCACGATGATGATGGTGGTTCGCGAAAAGGCCTTACTGGTGCAAAATTCTCATGGTGGTTCGCGAAAAGGCCTTACTGGTGCATTATTTAAACTGTTATGTTTATTCATATCATGATCTGATCACCATACTCAATATATCCCATATGCATGGGGGTATTGGGGTAACGATATACAAAAGGTTTGCTAGGGTAGACCCTCTTTCACTCAGACTCAGCCCCCCCCCCCCTCCGAAACAAACTCCCCCCCCCCCCCCCCCCCGAATAAATCCTGGCTACGGGCCTGGCCGCGACCCCTAAATACAGTTCCTCCTGTTGTGGTGACCGCCAGCCATAACATTATTTTCCTTGCTACTTCATAACTGTAATTTTGCTACTGTTATGAATCGTCATGCCATGGTATTCCCTGTAGTAACCTATGGATGTGAGAGCTGGACCTTAGGGAAGGCTGAGCGAAAGAAGATCGATGCTTTTGAGCTGTGGTGTTGGAGGAAAGTTCTGAGAGTGCCTTGGACTGCGAAAAAATCCAACCAGTCCATACTTCAGGAAATAAAGCTGGACTGCTCAATGGAGGGAAAAATACTAGAGACAAAGTGAAGTACTTTGGCCACATCATGAGGAGACAGGAAAGCCTAGAGAAGACAATTATGCTGGGGAGGAAAGTGGAAGGCAAAAGGAAGAGGGGCCGACCAAGGGCAAGATGGATGGATGGCATCCTTGAAGTGACTGGACTGACCTTGAAGGAGCTGGGGGTGGTGACGGCCGACAGGGAGCTCTGGCGTGGGCTGGTCCATGAGGTCACGAAGAGTCGGAGACGACTGAATGAATGAACAACAACAATGGCTTTTAAAACATCCGATATGCAGGATGGATTTTCATTCACTGGACCAAATTTGGCACAAATACCTGATACGCCCAAATTTGAATACTGGTGGAGGGGATTGATTTTGTCATTTGGGAGTTGTAGTTGCTGGGATTTATAGTTCACCTACCATCAAAGAGCATTCTGAATTGAACCAAACTTGGCACACAGAACTCCCATGACCAACAGAAAATACTGGAAGGGTTTAATGATCATTCAACCTGAATTTCCTATATTACATTACTATTCAGATTTTATAAGTCAAACTGAATTATTTCTGATCCTGTTAGATTGCTCTGTTTTAATGATATTTCCTATGCTATTATACATTTTCATCCACCTTGTTGAACCAATTACTCTATAATCAGCCTGTATTTTGTCGTCCCCCCTCTTAGTTCTTTTGTTGCTTGATGCTTGTCTATTATTGTTATGTTTGTTTTATGCTTTTAAATTGCATTTTGTTATTGCTCTGGTTTTAATTGTGTTTTTCCTGGGCTTGGCCCCATGTAAGCCACCCCGAGTCCCTTTGGGGAGATGGAGACAGGGTAGAAAAATAAAGTTCTTCTTCTGGGCATTGACCTTGAGTTTGAGAGTTGTAGTTCACCTACATCCAGAGAGCACTGTGGACTCAAACAATGATTGGACCAAAGTTGGCACGGATACTCAATACGCCTAAATATGAACACTGGCGAAGTTTGGGGGAAATAGACATTTGGGAGTTGTAGTTGGTGGGATTTATAGTCCACCTACAAAGAGCATTTTGAACCCCACCAATGATAGAATTGGGCCACACTTCCCACACAGAAACCCCATGACCAACAGAAAACATTGTGTTTTCTGATGGTCTTTGGTGACCCCTCTGACACCCTCTCGTGACCCCTCCAGGGGTCCCGACCTCCAGGTTGAGAAATGCTGATCTATGGTATTGTTGGGTCAGAAGTCATTCATTAAAACAGGGTTTGTTGTTATCCATTATTACCTGTATCTATGCGAAATCCAAGAATGTATTCCTCCAGGATGCAGTGGTTGTGGTGTAGTCTCGTTTT